CTGTTTTTGCTAATCTGTATTTGTATTTTCTATATCAACTGATAGAAGTTTTTTTTTTCTTTTATTAAATGAAATTCATTGTATTGCCAATGAAGTTTAATAGCTTTCTTGTACTGAATGCAGTCTTTTTTAATATGTCCTTCATTGTCACAGAAGTAGCAAAGTTTAAGAACTACATGCTATTTTGTAGTAACTTTGTTGTCTAGTATAATATAAAAATAGTGAATTTTTTTTTTTAAATCTAAATCCACTGTAGTTTCGAAAGTGATGATTTATTGATCTATAAGATAAGATGTGTCTTCTATTAAGAGTAATTTAATTGAAGCAATTTTGCTAAAGTTTTCAAAGATATTATTTATTTTATTTAAAATATATTCCTTATTATCTAAAGGAATATTTCTAATTTTAATTAGCAAAGAGGATCTTCTAGTATCGACAGGAATATGATTATAATATGTGTGATGAAAGATTTCAATTCCTTTAGTAGCATAATGTTTAAGCTTTTCCTCATTTATAAAGATTAGTTCTAAGTAAGTATAAGATCTTTTATTAATATATGGCTTAGTAGCAATTATATCTTATTCTGCTATCTTATAAAGAAAAATTATAATTTTATTTAGAGAACCATTTAGATTATGAATATCTAATATAAGGTATGGCAACCTAGTGAAATGGATAGGTTGTCAACTCTTAAGTGGCAGGTCTAAGATTCAATTCCTACAGACGACGAATTTTGGAAATTATATCTGTATTACAATAACTGTCTCTTGCCGATTGGTTGTGTTTTAGGCATCTGTAATCTTAGGTACACCAAGTTAGGTCCTACCTGACATTGGGAGCTTGGGACATCTATGTGAATTGTAATATTACACAATACATATACATAGAGGAATGTGAAAAACTGGTATTGTATAAGGCTTTGGTGCAAACCCATAATAAGACCACCAGGTATAGAAGACTAAGAAACCAAAGAAACAGAAACTCACTTGGAAATTCTAAGTAAAGAGATAGCACAAACTTTTGATGATGTTATTAGACTAATGAAAGCCTATAAAATACCTTTATAGGAACTAATTAGATAAACTGGATGATAAAAATGTATAGAGGAGCACATGACCAACCAGGTTACTAGAATCACTAGAAGAAAAGGATATATAAGTATACTATATCGAGTCATCTGAATTGAAAGTCTGGCAAATCGGTTAGTTCTGAGTTGCAACTAGTAGGAGATGATGAAGAAGAAGTCAGAAAGATGAGTACCAGGGTTTGGGTGAACTTTACAAAGGTAATAGCAGTTTAAGAGGTAACCCTAATTGCAAGTATTGGTCTTGGCCATAGCATCAAACCAGGTTAGCAGTAAAAAGGAAATATGGCTCATTCTGATAGGTTTACCTCGAGAATAAAAATAGTCTAAGGATTATAGTCCTAGGATTGAATGCAAATAGATCTGGGTCTGTGACCTGGTAAAATTAATATTAGAGTTAGATCAGAGGGTTTAAATGGAACATCTAAGCAGAGGTGTTAGATATGACAACTGGTAGGAAACTTTCGGATGGACTTCTTAAATAGGTAATATAGAAAAGTTACATGTGTAATCAGTTGTATACTTGTCTAATAGTTCATTATAGATATGTTTATATAAAACATGTACTTGCTATAAGTATTAATAAAAAACTCAGACCAAAGAGGTCACCTTAATACTGAAAAAAAAAATAATAAAAAATAAATATCTAATATAAGAGCATTATCATTTTTAGATCTAATATTGTTTCTTGGTGAGAATAAGAAGAAAATTAATTATCCTTTCTTGACTTTTACAAATAAGTTTAATCATAATTTGTTCAAGACCTCTTTGTTTTTGTTTATATTTATTGTATTAGATTTTGTAAGAGACATGTTATTTTGCTCTGTATATAATGTTGTTGTTATTTTGTTTTTTTTTGTTGTTTTGTCTTTCAAAATGTGTCTTAAAACTAGATGTAACTGTAATACTGTTTTGGTTCTTCGTTTCTTTAAGAGTTCTTTTTTTATTTTCTAAAATAACTTGCTTGTCTTAGCTAATATTATTAAGAGAATCAAATTGCATAGTCAGATAAAATTTCTTGATTACTTTCTGTTACTATAATGTTTTTTTTAAAAAAAGAGTTAGTTTCAGTTTTTGCTTGTTGTTTTTTTGTCAAAAGATTTATTGTTAATTTATTTTCTTGTTTTTGTAAACTTCTAAACCAAAAGTCTTATACTTTTTAAGAACAAGAGAAAAAACCTCTGTTTTGCTACTGTTTTTAAAATTAGTAAAACCCTGAATAGAGTATATTTTATCTTTTTCAAAATTATCTTCTTTTCTAAATGTAATGGTCAGAAGAGAGAGATAATTGATCCTTGCTGCTTTACTTTTAACCAATAATATAATAATATTTTTTTTAATTAATTTAATATATATTTGCATTTACTTATTATATAATAAACCCTTATTAATACTAATCTTATTAATATCAAACTAAATGATAAAATAAATTTTTACATATTAAAATTATATTAAAATTCTCTCACATATATCAACTTTAATACAATTCCTTATTAATATTAAATATCACTATAAATATAAATAGAAAAGTGTTCCAAATAAATTAATGTCAAGTATATACTGTTTATATATATGCACTAAAAAATTAATAACCTAGCATCTAACAAACTATAATAAACTATATAACTCTTAATTATACAATCTCTACGATTCATGAAGGGCCTAAATACTTTAAAGTTAATAAAAAGATTTGCTGGTGCAAAAGATACAAATGACTATTACAAAAACTTCGTATAAAAATCATGAGTTTTTGGAGATCTTTAAATAAAAAAATGAAACAAAGTTTGATAAGAATATATTCTTTAATGTATCCAAAATTATATATACAGGTTTTATTAAATCAATTCATACGATGCTTATAACGAAACTGATTTTATTGTCAACAAACATGCAAACAGTATCATAATTATACATACTGTATTTTTCTCTCTTTTTTGAGTTAATTCAGTTGGTGAGGATAAGGATCGTTAAATAAAACTTATTACTATCAAAAGTCTAGATTATATAGGGTTTATCAAGCCAATCAAACTAATAACCATCCATCTTTTATATGAATATCTATTCAATTTTGATCCTGAACCCCATAAAATCCATTCCTAATTAGTTTTGATGTTGAATGCGTATATTAACGTTAATTCAGCAAATTTGATTGGTTTTTGAGTTTGACGCTTTGAGTTTTAGCCATGAACCCAAATGAAGTAGAAATCCCAATTACAAAACCCAAACTATGTAGTAATGTCATAATTCAAAAAAATTGGTTGGACTACAACCCTATCATTGATTAGGACGTAAATCATAAGTCTTCTCGATTCTGCCATGGAAATTCTTCATCTGAAATTCCTCTCAACATGACTTTCAAATACATAGGCATCTCAACTCCTTCTAAAACTTCAAGTGCAACATTAATGACTTCTTCTCTCCCATTGAATTGCCTCAAAACATCAACACATTCGCAAATTCCTTGTCTGAGATACATTTCCCCAACGTCTCTATTCATATATTCTGGACCCATGCGACGTTGATCACAAAGCCACATGTTTTGTGAGGGAATATATTTGCTGAAACGACGAAGATAAGGCGCCATCCATCGGATAACTAGCTCTCGAGAAGGAGTAACCACCTCAGCGAGACATTCAAATAAATCAGTATCATATGAAGTTGGATTCAATAATGTGATAAATGCATCCACACCGCAGGACGAAGTTGGAGATTTGTCCCACTGTTCTTTGACTGCTTTCTCGTCATATGGAAGTAAATCAGTGGCAGTACGCTTTTTATATTGAACCCACAATTCTACACCAACTGGAATGTTGGATTTAAGAATGAGTAAGAAGCGACTTTCCTGAAAGTCATTTGGTGCGGTATATACGGTAACCAGCCGTTCAACAAACCTACGTAAGTCGGCAGACATAATTTGGTGTTGTTTTTAGAAGGTATAAGTATATATTTATGGTGAATTCCATGCTAAATTTAGTTATGGATGTACTTTGATTGGCCAGAATTAAATAATATTACTGTTTATGTACTGACGGTAATTTGATTCTGCGAATGGGCAAATTACCCATATCACCTGATTTTTGCAATAGATGTAATTTGATATTTTTTTAATTTTGAGTAACTTTAGACATACTAGCTCGTAGGGTTAGGGTTGTCAATGGAGTGACATGCTCCGGAGCCACTCTGGAGTGAGCCCAACCCAAGTTGGAGTGGGTTAAAGGCAACTCTAAGCAAGCCTGGAGTGGCTCCGGAGTGAGCCCAACCCAAGCTGGGATGGGTTGAGGAATTGTTTAACCCAATCCAACCCAGCCCAACCAATTAACAACCCTACGTAGAGTGGGGAAAAAAAAGCTCGGTTTGATTTGAAGGCTATAAAAGCAGTATTCCGCAATTGGTGCCTAAGTCGATATTAGTATATTTAATTAGTACGATAAACTTCTAGCAAATGGAGCCCATTTGCTAGAGGTGTTTACTAAAGTAGTACTGTACGAGTAGTACAGATTTAGACGGACGTACGAAAATTTAACTAAATTTTAATAGTCCGTACGTTTGTTTTTTTTATACTAGTACGTACGAAAAATAAATTATTTTTATACTAGTATGAATTTATATTATAATTAAGTGAAAGTATTAATTATTAAATTAAGTGAAAAGTACTGACTATTGAAAAATTAAGTGAAGGTATTAAGCATTAAATTAAGTGAAAGAAAATATTAAATTAAGCGAAAATTATTAAATTAAATGAAAGTTATTAAATTAAACAAAAGTATTGAGCTTTAAATTATTTAACTTTAATAAAGATGAACTAAATATGCTCTTTACACTTTAAGCATATTTTAGCATTAGCATCTACATATAATGCAAATTAAGCATTTTTTTTTACATTGTAATATCTAAACTATAATATAGCAATATGGTTTTATATATCTAATCCCAAGCTTATTTTTAATTGTCGATTCTGCAATTCAATTGCTTCAGCTTCAGCTGCTTCTTTATTTGCCTTTATTTGATGTTCTAGCAAAGCTAATTTTCTTTCTTCAAGTTCAATACTTAACAAAGGATCATTTTCTTTATTACTAGTAGTTTGAGCTATAACTTTATTTTTTTTCACTGATTTCATTATCTGAATCTGAATTTATTACATTCACAATAGTTTTTAATTCAATCATTACTTCATTTTTTTTTTTTTTAAATATTAAGTTGAGTACTTGCGACCCAGGATTTTATTGATAGTACATTCAGCTAATGGTTGCATTACAACCACAGGGGGCAACCATGAAAAGAGTGTACAACTAGCCACTCATACAACTTTAGTCATTGTCTAATTTAAGTAGTCTGCCTGAAGGTTCTATACTAGCTGTCATACCTGGAACCTGCTTGTAGGTTCCTTATTTAACTATTCTGTTCCCATATCTACTCACCTACTTACACCTACCAAGATGCTCCGGTCGATACCGGTTCAAATATGTCATGGTTACTAAGTCTTTAAAGTGGTTCACTCACATGAGGAACCTTTGACTTTGTACTAAACCTTCCAGAATCTTCTGTATTCCATTCTTACAGCTGACCTGGTATTGCTATGGTCAAGACCAACACTGGCGGTCAGGATGTATCATTAAACCGCTATGCCCTTGTAGAGTTCACCTTAACCCTGGTACTAACTTCACAACATATTCCTACTACTTTGGTATTTAATTCAAGTTCTACCAAGCTCCCAAACCAGATAGCCTGGAAAGGCAGGTTGTAACCATATACCTTTGGTTTACATGTTTGCCAGCATGTAACCTTTTCCTCCAGAACCCAGAAATTCTGGCAGCCTGGTTGGTTCCATTTGGCCCTTCCTCAAAGGTCGGTTCTTTGCCTAGTTTTACAAGTTCTAGCTCCATTTCATAGGTCTAATCTTTACAGTAGCATTGTCAAAAGTTCAGGTTACCTCTCTACTCGGGTCTTCCAAGTAGGCTTCCATCCTCCTATCTGGTTTCTATGATTTATACAGTCTAAGGACTTATCTTGGGTTTACACCACCCAGTACTGGTTTGTGTTCCTTCATACAATGTTGCACAAATGCCTAAACCTTCCAGTTAGACTGGTATGACACAGGTTACAGGTATCCTATCTCAACCAATCACAGAAGACAGTTAGCCATAATACAGAAAAAATTACAAATTTTTGCCATCACTAGGATTTGAACTCTAGACCTGCCACTTGGAGGTTGACAACCTATCCACTTCACTAGGTCGCCACACCTCTTCAATCATTACTTCATATTTTATTTGAAAATTAGTTTCTTGATATGATTTTTTTTTTTATTGTTAATAATTAGTGTTTTTCTTTTACTTGATTTAAGTCTTGAGACTAAATTAAAATAAATATATATAAAAAATATACTGAATAAATAATATTTATATTTTATATTACCTTTTTAGTTAGATGTAATTTGTTGTCATTTAACTTCATTTTTGTTACATCTAATATATAATATATTTGAACTTTTATAAGTATTTTTAATTTTCCATCAATTTTCTCAACTCTAACAGGCTTAATATTAAATGAACTTATTGACACTATTGTAAATTTATCTTTCAAAAAAATAGTTACTACATTTTTTATAAAGTTTTTACTTCACGTTAATTAACAAATCTATCACAAAATTTGGATTCTCTATTGTATTTCAAGATCTACAGCCTAACTTTCTAACTATAATTCATTATTAAACCCTGTTTCTTCTGCATTACACATTTCTCCTTCTAATTCAATTTGTTCCAAAATTAATTCCTAATATATCCAATGAATAAAATATCAAACCAATCCTCTATATATTATTACTAACACCTAAATCTAGGTGAGTCTTGGTCATTCTGGTTGATTTCAATTACAAATAAATTAGTCTGAGTTTCTATTCTTTCTATAATATTTTAAAAATAGATTTGTATTTTGTGTAAAATTTTAATTGAATATTCAATAAAGATAGAAGCATGATTTTACCATTAATATTAAAAAAAAAAAAAAAAGTATTTTTAATTTTTAATAATTTTTCATTATACTATTGTTTTACTAAAAAATATAAAATAGAATTTAATTAAATAAATTATAAAAATTTAAATAATATATTATTACAGTATTACTATAATATTGTTGATAAAAATTTTAATTATTTTCTTTCTCTGTTTATTAAGACATAAGCTGCTTTAGTGATAATAGTATTATTATCATTTTTTTTTTTTGTTTTTTAAATATTAATGATGAGGCCATGTCTTTAATTTATTGAAATTCAATTGAAGTTTTTATAAAAAAAAGCTTGTTTTTAAATTACATATAAAGAATAAAGACTCAGACATATAATCTGGAATCTAAACCTATGAGAATAGCCAAAGCTTATTTAGATTTGAATATTAGTAATAATATAAGAGAAAAAAATATAATCTTTAATCTATTAAATAGTACAAAAATCAATTTGACAATAATTTATGATATTGAAATAGAGAATAAAGGTAAACTATAAGGAAAACTATGAGTTAAATTTGTAGTAAATGTAATTTGAGGCTGTGTAGAATATGAAATACAATATGGAATCTATATTTGTTTATATATTTGTTAATTTAAATAAAGAAGAAATTTAAAGGTGTGGCAACCTAGTGAAGTGGTCAGGTTGTCAACCCTCCAAGTGGTAGGTTGGGTATTCAAATCCCATTGATGATGAAAATTTGGATAATCACCTATGTAATATTTGTATTATGGCAACTGTTACTAATGATTGGATTAGGATATCTGTAATGGTGGTCGCACCAGCATGACTGGCAGGTCATGGGGCATCTGTGCAATGTTGGAGTTATACAGAAGAATGCAGACTAACAAATTGGGTAGTGCAAACACTAGATAAGTCCTTGTGGCTGTGTAAATTTGTTGAAATTGGGTAACAAGAAGTTCATTTGGGAAGACCCGAGTAGAGAGGTAGCTGGATCTTCAATGGCCCTACTGTAAAGGCTAGCC